TATCTATCTATCTATCTATCTATCTATCTATCTATCTATCTATCTATCTATCTATCTATCTATCTATCTACCTACCTACCTTATCATGGCTTTATTACTTCATAGATAATTCGAAGTGGTGAACACCTCCTCCTATTTTCCCAACAACAGCAATCTTGTGAGATGGGTGCTGAGACAGAGTGACTAGCTCAAAGTCACCCAGCTGACTTTCATGCCTAAGGTAGCACTAGAACTCACAGGTGGAATGATCAAATAAGCTAATGACTTTCAAATCAGTTTCTTGCTCAATAAAGTTATGAAGAAAACCAAGTAGTGGGTGAAAAAGCACTTCCTTGACTATCCTGAAGCTTGATGCCTGGTCTGTGATGTTGGAGAGAAAACAGGAGAAGCTTGTGCAAAAATGGGCAGCCTTGAGCACACCAAATAGCATTTGGTCTAGTTTTAGTGGATGAAAAAGTCATGTTTGGTAGGGCCAGAGATGCTTTAGTTATCATGGCTGTGTTGTCAAATTGGACAGTCCAGAAAAGAACCCAGAAGCCCCCCAATAACTATTTAAAATATGTACGTGGCTATGGAACATTTTGCAAAACAATTTCAGCCTAAAATTGTGGAATTTAATTTACCAGTAGAATCAGGAATTGATTTGGGGGCCTTTAAAATGTACTCGTAGTTTAGGGACTATGCCAGGGGTGGGACACTACCGGTTCTGTACGGCTCTATAAAACCAGTAGCTCTGAAGAGCAGCAGACATTGAACTGGTTCTGTGTTTGCTGCTGTTTGGCCTACCCACCCGCCTAGGCTCTTACCTGACCTTTATTTCCTGCTTTTTCAACCTCAGCCGCTTTGCACAGCACAGCTGAGGTTGAAAAAGCAGGAAAAAAGAGGTTTTTCAAACACTGTGTACCCTCACACAGCGCTTTTCAGCTGTCTGGGTGGCAGTAAGTTTTTTTACATGCACGGGCAAAATGTAGTCACTGAACTGGTAGTAACACCGGTTGAATCCCACCCCTGGACTATGCATATCTTCTTCCTTGTTTAAAAAAATAAATTTTATTAGATATAAACATTAAAAACAGTGAACGTGGTGGTTCTTCTTTGACATACATTTTTGTCCAATCTCTTAACAGTTAGAAATAAAGAAAAAAAATTAGTAGATTTAGATACATATATACATTTTAAAGTATCATTTTTCCAATTATTTTTATGATCCTTTTAATCACGTCTCTACTTATTTTAAATCTATGAGCACCCTTGCATGTCCCTCCATTCATAAAATTTGTTCCATATTTTATAATAATCTAGTTCATCTCGTTGTGTATCTTCTGATGTAGTGAAGGACAGGTGGTTTACCTGCTTGAAGAGCCAACCGTTCTTGGTCACTGCAGCATTGGGATTCCTCTTCATGGAATTAGAACGTTTTCCAAAAGCAATTCCTTTCCTGGAGGTACGTGATGATGCCTTTGGGAAATAAAACAGAAAGGTTTGGGAAGGCAAAACAAGCAATGGGTAATACAATGAAATCCTAATTAATTATATTAAGTCTGATGGTTGCTGAGTTTTTGCATCATTCATTTTTGTTATATCCTTTATATTAGTTCTAATTTGACTTTTTAATTGATTTATATTTTTATGAACCACTAAAACTCCTTTGGAACTCTGGGGGAATAAATTTGATAAATATTAGAACAGACAGACTAAAAGTAATAAGACATCATTAACTTAAGCCTAACTGAGTACCAATGGGTCAATTTTTAAGCATGACTAAACATGGATCAAACTCATAATCTTGGGCACATGCTGGCTATGACATTTAGCATAAAAAAGATGCCTATTTTTTATATAAAAAGTTTTTTATTTTTTTTTATCTTTACACATCTCTTCACATGGGCAACATGATTCCGGATTATAACACTTGTACATAGTCAAACTTTCATTTCCATTAATCTTATATAATATCATCATATCATTATCCATTTCACTCATCTTTAAATAAATTTGCATTTCATATTTCAATTCATTAATTCAATATCATTATCATTTCATCCACACTTAGGTTTTCAATTCTTTATCCCCTATTATTTCCATTTTCAGCTTACCACCTATTTTATTTTATATCACACATCATTATTATCCTTAATTTTCTCTAAGCCGATATATAATAAACAATCTAAAAAGAGTAAAAGTAAAATAAAGTCATTTAGGATCCACATGGTATTTTTCATTCCCCTACTTTAATCATAATAAAATACTCTCATTATACATTTCTAGTATCCAACTGTATATTTTAAATTGTATTTTAAAGTATTCCCTCAGTAAATCGCTAAGATAATTTCTTAATATATCTCATTTTATCTTCACCTTACTTATAATCATTAATAATCATATTTTTTCTTCCTTTCCCCTTTGCCAAAGTTCATCTATTTAATTCATTTCCATTCCCGTTTTTAATCTTCCAAAGAAAGGGTTCATAACAGCATAATTCATCTACAATTCATATTCATATCTATCTATATGTATGTGTGTGTGTGTGTGTTTACAATCCTAAAATATTTATCAGCAAGTTTTAAACTAAATACCAATATAAATTCCCATGTGGTAGCCCCCTTATAACATCCCTAACCCTTATCTCTAAGCTTCCCCTCTTCTAAGTTTCCCCGGTCTTTCTTCTTTTTTCCTTCTGGTATTATTTTTATTCCCCTCTGCCTGTCAGCCATGTTTTCCCCCACCCTTACCAGTTCTCTTTTTTGGGATTTCTTCTTATATAATTCCTTTTTCTTCTTCTTAGTCTTGGGAGCCTTATCTCTTTTATCTGTTGTCCCTGTTGTCAATGTCTCTATTTTAAATCCTTTTATATTCTTTGGCAATGGTCCTTGTTCTCCATATTTATCTGGGCTGTTGTTTCCCTCTTCCGACTTGTCGTCTCTGGACTTTCTTTGTTCTTCTACAAGCTGCAACTCCATTACTTTACTAATCACTGTGTCCAGCAATTTCATTCTTTCTTTTAACATATCTCTCACAGTTTTTGGCTCTAACTTAAATTCTTTGCTTTATTTCTTCCATTTCTTTATTAAAGGTCAAATTTTTCTATTATAGTCCTTGCCAAAAGTCTCTGTTTCTCTCACTTTCTCTTTCTTGTCACAATCAACCTCCAGCAGTCCCAAAATATTGTATTCCTTTATATTTTACTGTAGTCCCCTCTTTTTTTTAAAAAAAAACTTTCTGTGTTTTTGATGTATTAATAATCTTTATTCCATTTTTTGTCTCTTTCAAATATTTATGTGACCAGTAATTTTCCATAAAAACATAAAAGAGGAAAATCTTTAACCATTAGGTGATGCTCTATATCACTTTCTTTTCAAAATTCTCTTATTTTTAATTCTCTTTTCCATAGTATTAATGTTAAATTTTACCCTTCCCAAATACGTCCAGCATTTTATCCAATGCCTAATTAATGTCCAATTCTCTATATTAGTCTAAATTTAATCTCTAATTTCATATAATTCTTTTATTTCTGGTTTTTCCTTTACCTTATATTTTCCTCTTATTCCCAGTTCGCCGCTACCATTCTTCCAAATGAGGACTCTTTCTTTCCGCTTTTTGGGGTTTTCAAAAAAAAAGTATCTAAAGTCTTTTATCCAATTACACGCCACTCACCAGTTCCACTCTCCAGCACAAAACTTAAAGTCCCGGCTTAAAGTTCCCATCTTCAGGGCAGTCATTAAACTGCCGCTTCTCCCTGTCTTCTAGGGGAGTAAGTACCAAGCCAGGGAGGGGAGATGAGGCTCCCCTCAACCCAGCTGGCGGTCTCCCCCTCTTCCCCCATCACTATAGGGTGGGTCAGATGGTTCAGTCCCTTGGGGACCCTTCCAACAGGGCAAGCACAGATCTAAGCTGCATACAATCGTGGTCTCTGGTCCGTCTTCGATCGAAATACCACCGGAAGTCAAGGTGCCTAATTTTTGTGAGGTACAATTTTTACATGTATGCCATTTATGCTGAGATATTCCAATATCAACTAGTTCTCCTAGGACAACATGAAGTGAAATAACCACAAACATGATTTTAAACTTTGAACAACAATGTGGAGGTTTGTTCTATACTGCCCTGAATTCCATAGTAGCAGATCAGTTGCACCTTATTTTTCAGATGGGAAAACTTGACCACCAGAAGGTTTGGATGAACCTATCAGAACAGAGCCACAAAAAGGAAAATATGCAAGACCACAATGCAAACATACCCTGCCATTTGGTCGTTCCTGAGGCACCTCTGAAACCATTGTGTGATTGGAGGATTCACTACTGACTGCTGCCGGCCGCTTGCTACTTGCTTTGCTTGACATGTCAAAGACAGATCTGGGATTGCAGGCGAAGGAGAAGAAAAATACATCATTAATAGTCCCAAGAAACTGACTTTGTGTCAGGGTTCTGACCGATGTCTATGGTCATACTACCCTTCTTCTCATACTTCTTATACTTTCATACCACAAATACATGTCCCTGTATTGATCTTGGGTTAACATTAACTTAAACCAAGAATTCATCAAATCAGACAGAATACAAATCTCCTTTGTGCAAATCCCTGCCCTTTTTGTTTCTTGAGGTAAACCTCTGGACAACTAAGGGACTATTTTCTTTCATATGGTATTTTTCATCCTTAAATTTTATGCTCTATACTCTTTCATGAACTTCCATTTTATGTCCAGTATTGCAAGGCACTAAAAACCACCAACCTTTGCAATTCAAAATGGTTGTTCTTTTCTGGGATCTGGTCAGTCACAGGATGAAGGAAAGTGTTCCGTCTTTCATTATGGCTAGGGAAAAATCAAAGAGAAATAGACAAGGCATTAATGATGTGGCTTATATGGAAATGTAATTTTCATTTGGCTGATTATTAATTAAGAGAGAATATGTATTTTTCTCTTTTATAGCTCCCATAGTAGGTTGACTATGACTATATCTTGGAGATGGAAATTAGTTTGCCCTGACCCGTTTAGAGTTACCAATTCAGTTTACAGACAAGTACTAGCTATTACTTCTATCTGAAATGATTTTACATCCTCCAGCCTATTCTTCATCCATCAAAAACAATTGTACCTATAGAACATTTCCAGGAAACTGCTGAATTTTGAAAAGATAAGCAGTCACAGTAATAATCATCATCTTATACAGTTTTTAGTCTCAGTGGAAATTTTCCTATAATGATCTGACAAAAGAAACATCTATGCTGATGGCTGTAATGAAAACTGTACTCATAATACATCAATGTGGACACAAATCATGACTTTGCCGTCTGGTATTTTTTGCCTTACCTGGCTAAAAGTTGTTTATGGGCCCCAGGCTGCTGCATGCAAATATCTATCACCACTAACAATGAAGCATTTTTAAAAATAGCTGCTGTGATTTAATTAGAAGCATAATTATTTCCTATGATGAGTCCATGTATATTAAAGTTGTAAGAAAATAATAACAGTCATGTGTTACTGTTTTAAGCAAGCACATTAATGAGGCATTAGAAACCATGTGACCTGTTTTTGATAGCTCCTTAAGGATCATCGTGGCCATCATTTCTTGGCAGAGACCTAAAAACAATACTTTGAAATTTTCAAATAGCCTTCTGCCAGAAAAATGTTTTAAGAATTGGACTGCCTGTTCTAAGAGCCTTTTATATGTCATTTCTCCATCTTCTTTGGAACTGTATGTAGCTGACTATTTTAGTATACAAAGTTGATGCTCTACTAATTCTAGGCTGAGAGATATCTGACCATTTCAGGGCATCTTCTATAGAGTCAACAATTTAAAATTATTACCATAGCATGCAAATGATAGGAGAAATTTTGGATTATATCACCTCAAACTCTTATTCAACTGTAATGGTATGTGAGAATGACCTTGAGGGAAAAAAAACCACTTTCTAGGGAACAATTAAATAAGAGGTGGCTGGGTCTACAAAAGGAATGGAGTTGTGACAAAGCTTTCAGAAGGGACCCTTCCTAATTTCTTGCACTGCAAGGATCAGGTGGGAGAGAGAGATGTACTTTCAGACCTGCAACATTCTGTTAATGGAACTTTACAATAAATATAGAGTAAATACTTGTGGGTGTGCTTCTTGTCTAGACTATCTCACAAGGCTGAGATTACATGAAATAAATAATAGTATGTGCACTGAGTTAATCCACTGAAGAGGCAGATTTAGAACACTTCTCTTCTTGATATGTACAGAAGGAAGGGTTCTTCTTTTTTTAAAGAAAAATCTGGGGAACATTTTAAACAATGAATTCAGAGGCTATAATAGCACAATTGAGAATTTTCCCATTTAAGTATGATGCCTAAATCCATATAATGTGTAGAAAGGCACCAGTTGAGATCCCTACAATACAATACCTACTCCATGTAAAACTGTGCTTTTACAATTGAGGCATACTGACTAAAACAAAACTATTAAATTACAGCAGACAAAACAAATCAAGCCAGCAGTGCTCTGTGATGTGCTTTTCCGGATGCAGATTTTAATTAGAATACATTATGTTATCTTTGCCTGCTGAGCTTTATTAGTTTTGTGTTTACAAAAAGCAGGCTGTTATTTCCTGCACACATACACATACAAATCTGTATCAAAGAAAAGATAAACAAGTTTTTAATGACTTGCGACAGACAAAATTACAGTTTTAACCCCATTTAATTGATTAAAGGAACATACAGCATGATCAGTCTGGCATGTAAATGGCACTAGTGCACATGTCTAGCTTTTTCGTCCCAGTGTGCAAAATTCCATATAATTTTATGAAAACTCTTTATTTTGTATAGTCTATTCTCTCTTAAGGCCTGGTATGAATGTTTAAATGGAAAGAGCATTGAAGATCTCCAAAACAGGAAGTCCTACAAAACAGATAAACTGCTCTAGAAATTGCACTTGGTCAAGTACAGTGGGTGAGAATGGTGTGTACTATATTACAGATACAGATTAGCAGAGTTAGGAGGGACCTTGTAGGTCATCTAGTCCAACCCCCCCCACCCAAGCAGGAAGACCGTACATTTTTGACAAATGGCAGTCCAATCTCTTCTTAAAAGCCTCCAGTGATGAAGCTCCCACAACTTCTGAAGGCAAGCTGTTCCATTGGTTGATTATCACTGTCAGAAAATTTCTCCTTATTTCTAGGTTGAATCTCTCCTTGATCAGTTTCCATTCACTGTTCCTTGTCTGGCCTTCAGGTACTTTGGAAAACAGTTTGACCCCTTCCTCTCTGTGGCAGCCCTTCACATATTGGAACACTGCTATCATATCTCCCCTGCTCCTTCTCTTCACTAGACTAGCCATGCCCAGTTGGATGAATTGACCAAGCCTGGTCTAAACAGTTTGATCTGGGCTTCTTTCCCAATAAATATTAAACACTTGTGAGCAAAACCAAAACTTAAGAGATGGGGTTATGGTATGTTCATAGGAACAGAATGACAGAATTTGGATGCAGAAGTCAGCAGAAATTTGAGAGGTTATTGTATAATATATAATTGTAGCAAAAGCATGCTGTCATACTTGAAAGATCAGGCCCACACGTGCAGGTGCAATTAAACTGATTTATTGTTAATCATGCCTATGCACAAGAATCTTCTCAACTAATAATTAACACCTACTTTGGGTGAGATAATAGTCAACAGAATTCAAGGGAGGTTGGACCTAGTTCATTTGTGCCTACGTAGGGATTCTAGGTTGATCCCTCTTTTAACTCTGCTCCCAGATTCCTTCTTCTACCTACGCTTTGTTTTATCAGGATTTTTCAGTCACTTTTTATATGCCTTACTTTTCTGCATTAGAAGAGTTTTGAAAATGGATGGCAGTTCTTCAACAAATATACAACTGTGCAATGGAATGGTGCACTGAGATAGATCAAGCAAGTATTTAAATGTTTTCTTGCCCCCAATTCTAAGGGAACAACAGCTCTTTTGCACAAGGCTACTAATTGTGAATTGTAAAAACACAGATGACTATGAGTTGGTAACAAAGAGGCACAAAAGTTCTGATCCACTGCTGTCACCTAGTATTCACCTGAATTTTATACCCAAATCTTTAGTCCTATTTTAAATATATCCCAACTTCTTTTCCTGAGCCAGTTCAATACTAAAGTCTATATTTTATCATGGTAAGAATGCCAACATTCATTCATTCATTCTTGGGAAAAGCTTGGGAAGCTTGGATTCACAGAAGTATTGTAAAGCAATATTAATTTATTGTGAATAAATTTACATGTGCAGGGCCAGACAAATTGTTCCAATGGTAATGAAATAGCTTACTAATTGCTTCACCAAAAGCCATGTGTTGTCTTTGAGAAATCTTGGACAATTAATGAAAAGCCAGATAATTGGAGAAGGTCTAACATAGTTCATGTTTGGGTCAAAAAGCTGGGCACCAATGCCTCAGAAATTCTAGAGCAAATAATAAAGAATAATAAAGTCATCTATGCTATATAAACTTCTTAAAAACAGTTTAGCAATGATCAAAAACTAGCAAGAATTTATCACAAATAAACTTTACAGACTTTACCCCAACTTTTAAATAAAATTATTTCCTTAGTAGATTGTGGGAAAGCTGTTGAATGAAATATGTATTGAATTTAGCAAGCATTTCATAAGGTAATCCATAATGTTTTAATTAGTAAGCTATTTAAATGTGGATTGGATGATATAACGATATACAAACCTCTCAATTGTCATCAGAGTTCTCATTTAACTGGAGAGAGTTATCTGTTCTTTGTATTAAAACATTTCATATAGAAATGGACCAAATCTTTATCAAATTTGAAGGTAACACTTGAGAAGACAGAAAGAAGATTTATCTTGATAACTTACAGAAATGGGCTGAAAATAGCAGAGTAATCATATTAGCTATAATTGATTCTAATTAAATGTACGTGATATGATGGGAAAACAAAGTTTTTATATTAGACCTCATTATTAATATTTGGAGTGCACTCTCCAGACACCCAGTAGCTCTCACCCTAGAAAAAGTTGTATTCTGATCATGACTAATGAGACTTTAAAAAAAAATCTCACTCGCTGATTACTTTCATTCACATCCCACACACTTAGAAAATCCTCACATCCACTGACAACTGGTGAAATGAGCTGCCATCCTTCTCTGCAATCCAATTTGGGATTATTTCTCAAAGATGACATCTTTGAACATCCCCTCTCCAAACTTGCCATTATTCCAGAGACGTTAGCCAGTACATACATCAGGAGACTTGCCATAATGGCTGGAACATGTCTCTGTCGCTTTAACTAACTGGTTGGTTGTACAGAGGAAATGCCAAGATCACACATCACTTCTGCAGCATTATGTCAACCTTCTGTTGGCTTCTGACCAGTGCTACCTGCTTGCTGGCTTCAGCTTTGCTGCCAGCATTTCTGGGTTCTGTCCAGGGTCCTGATGCTTTTCTTACTGTACTGACATCACAGTGAGTTCCCTCCTGCAATCAGCCTGCTGAACCCATAACTAAAATTTCTTACTACTACTTCTGTCTATAGCCTGATTTTACTGCTATGCACATGCACCATGAATTTTTAAAAAGCATGTTTCAGGATTGGGTATATATTTGGAAAGCCTACTTATTCCATAGACAATGTGTTTATGTCATTCTGACTGAAAATTTGGAGTAATGCTCAGCAAAACCATAGTGCCATGCAGAATTCAGAAATAGATGCAATGCTTTCTAACTTTATTAAGATAATCGGCAAAATTCAATATTATGTTCATCTTCTATATTTTAAATTTAGTTCTGGATTATCTTGATATTTATTTGTAGTGGCATTTGAAAAA